CCCATGGTAGTGGTGAAAAAGAAAATTGGACAGTGTCGTATATGCTGTGACTATAGGGAATTAAATAAAATTACCCAGTTAGATGCTGAGCACATGAGGGACACTCGAGAATTGCTTGAGGAAATAGGTTCTTCAACAATATTCACACACCTCGATTTGAACAGAGGTTTCTGGCAAATAGGAATGCATCCAGATTCCATTCCCTATACTGCTTTTGCCACAGAGGAAGGGTTGTTTGAATGGACAGTAATGCCATTTGAGCTGGTTAATTCAACTGCAACGTTCTCTAGGTTCATGAGAATCATGCTAACAGGAATACAAAATGTGGTGCATTTCGTTGATGATATCTGCATCCACACTAAAGACATGAAAACATACATAGAGACAATGAAAGTAGTACTAGACAAATTAAGATCACATGGAGTAACAATTGCACCAAACAAATTAAAATTCGCACAAGAAGAAATAGAATTTTAAGATTCAAAATTACTAAAAACACAATTCAGCCCACAGAACAAAACAAAGGAAAAATATTGAACATAAAAACACCACACAATCAAAAAGAGGTCAAAGCCATATTGGGTTTGTGCAATTTTTATAGCACTTTTGTACCAATATTCTCTGATATAACATTACCTTTAAGGAAATTAATCAACAAACAAATTAAGAAACAAATAGTATGGACAGATGAATGTGAGAATACATTAAAAACAATCAAAGAAATTTTCCAAAGTGACAACATATTGTTATCACCCAACTTTGATCAGTCGTTCACTTTAGTGACAGACGCCTCCAACATTGGATTAGGAGCTTGCCTTATGCAAGAATTCAATCATAAACTAAGACCAATCACTTATTTAAGTAGAGCACTAAGCAGAACTGAAATAAACTACTCAACCATTGAGAAGGAATGCTTAGCAATTGTGTGGGCACTGACAAAAATTACAAAAATATTTATTAGGTAGAAAATTTATCCTATAAACTGATCATAAGCCATTGATGGCACTAAATAGAAAGAAAATAGCAAACAACAACATAAACAGATGGTCCTTGATTCTACTAGATTATCAGTATGAGATAAGGACAATAAAAGGCAAAGATAACACAGTAGCTGATTTCCTTTCAAGACATATTGAGCATACAGACACTGACAAACACGCTGAGCTAAGACACATTAGTCAAATATTCTAAAATTTTTCAACTAGACAGATGAACACTCACTAACTGAATAATATAATAGGCATACTTTAATTTTAAGACAAATGTTTTAAAGATTGTAAATAATTGATGATGGCTGGTGATATTAATTGTACATTCATAAATAGTGATTTACAAATATTAGTTTTAGATGAAAATGTAAAGGCATCATATTACCATACTTCATTTTTTGAAATCAGTTTTTCATTGATTGAATTCATAAATAATTAATATATGAATGACATTTTCTATGTTGTGACATATTTTCTTAAGATAGTCTTAAAACTTTATAATATAAAGATTTGGATACTATGTTAATAATAATGACTACTCAATTAATTATATGGTAGATATTGAATGATTATGACATTTTGATTCAATAACATTGAATAATTTGTATTGTCACGCACCCATCATTGCATTTAATGATGAGCAGTTTTTTTAAAGTTTATTTCATGCTGTACTATAATTTTTACATATATATATTTTTGATTAAAATTTGTTGCACAAAATGTTTTTGGTTGGTTTGGGCGTGTAAAGACCATGTCTGCAATTTTGCACACGAAACCATTAAGTCAGGGAGATGTCATGATTTGAGTACTGAACCATATTAACTTGTATTATTTCACGGGAAAAGAGAATAAAACTATATTTGGTACGGCAGAAGTGAGCCGCACGTTTCGGGTGATCAGGGCATCACCTCTTGGAGTCGGAGAGAAGATAGGACATATATCCCAGGCGCCAAAATAGCGGAGGGCAGCAAATTTGGCTTTGATGACATTTAATGGTTGAAAATAATCGGTTTCAGAAATGTGAGGTGGGCATAAAAATTAATCTGGTCCCCTGACGCCAAACACTGTAGATACACTCCTGCTAGTGTTGTCGAAATAGGGCGCATCTGCTGGTCCAACCAGGTGACACGTTTCCTTTAAATGCAGCAAAGCCCTTCTAAGATGTTTAGGGCCCTGGGCATGGAGCGGATGTAGGGGGCCCCGGAAAGGGATTCGCCAAGAAAACATCACCCACCACTGGGGCATCCACACTTTGCCTTCGTTACTGTTTACTCTTTGCTCGCGTTAACCACTAACCATATTGATAATTCCGCCACAAGAGAAAATGTGTATTTCAGAAATAGATTGACTTGCAAGTTGTAGGCTTAAAAAAATGCACTTGCGGAACATCCTTAGAAGTGAGGCCCACGAGGTCGCCTACTTTGCCTATGCCTAAGAGCGGTTATGTATGCAGGTGTGGCATTTTCGGACAACAGCAGCGTTTGTATCGTGAAAGGTAGGACAGTAAAATATTGTCCCGCCCATGGCGGCACTAATAATATCTGCGCCACTAGGCAGTTTATTAATCAGTTTCCCAAAATCGGCGATCATTTTCATCGGGAAGTAGAGCGGAAATCGAGGGCGCCGATGAATCTTGATCGGTGGAGGGGTGTGGGGAGCCTTCTCCCCAAGAAATGTTTGATTTTTTTAAAAAATCAAGAGTTGTATTTTTTTAGTATACTTGAATTCAATGTTTCTATTATACTCTTTGAACGGGGAAAGATATTTGTAAGGTTTTTGGGAGACATTATGGTGCCCTATATAAACTGATATCACTCTTTTTGGGATGACCAAGAGTAAGCATTTGTCACAAGCTTATAATTAACCCAATGCTGTATTGATCGGGGTGAGTGAACGTGGTGAAGAAATTTAGGATGCTAAAGACAGTTAGGAAAACTTACAATGTAGTGTGCATTTTGGCTCATAAATGAATTTGTTTGTTTCTCTCAAAATTGGGGTGGGTGCATTTAAAGCAAATATGTTGCCTACAAATCGTTTTTAGGTATTGATGACTTTTTTTTTAATACGCCAATTAGAGACCGACCGAATTTCGGCTTCGGCTTCGGTTTCGGCGCCGAAAGTGGCCATTTTATCACTTTCGGCCATTTAATACTCAGCGAAAGCAATATTTAACAACAAAGTAAGCGACATTTAAGAACAAATTAAGCGATCTTTAAAACAAACTAAGCGATCTTTAAAAACAATCTAAGCGATCTTTAATAACAAACTACACGATCTTAAAGAACAAACTAAACGATTTTTAAGACCGAACTAAATGATCTTTAAGAACAAAACAAATAATCTTTAACAGTAAACTAAATGATTTATAAGAATACACTAAGCGATCTTTAACAGAAAACTAAATGTTCTTTAGGAACAAACTAAAAGATCTTTAAGAACAAACTAATCGATCTTAAGGAACAAAATCAATTATCTTTAAAAACAAACTAAACAATCTTTATGAAAAAACTAAGCGATCTTTACAACAAACTAAGCGATCTTTAACAACAAACTAAGCGATCTTTATGAACAAACTAAACGATCTTTAAGAACAAATAAAGCGATCATTAACAAAAACTGGACGATCTTTAACCACAAACTAAGCGATCTTTAAGATCAAAATAAACGATCTTTAACAACAAACTCAGCGATCTTTAAAAAAACAAACTAAACGATCTTTAACAACAAACTAAACGATCTTTAAGAACAAACTAAACGATCTTTAAAAACAAACTAAACGATCTTTAACAACAAACTAAACGATCTTTAACAACAAACTAAACGATCTTTAAAAAAACAAACTAAACGATCTTTAACAACAAACTAAACTATCTTTAAAAACAAACTAAACGATCTTTAATAACAAACTTAACGATCTTTAAGAACAAATTATGCGATCTTTAAGATTAAACTAAGCAATATTTTAGAAAAATTTAAGCGATCTTTATGGAACAAAGTCACCGATCTTTAAGAACAAACTAACCGATCAATAACAACCAACTAAACGATCTTTAAAAACAAATTAAGCGATCTTTTAGAACCTCATTTTTTAGAAACCCTGTTTAAAAAAAATAAAATTTGGCATTTAATTTCCCCTCCTCCCCCCCACCCCCACAATTTTGCCAAATTTTCTACCAGACTAATTTTTTAAAAATTGTAAAGCAATTTAAATTACTTTTATATTAAAATGGTAAAATACTAAGTATTCATTAGATCAAGGGTTTCAAACTCAAATCATGGGGAGGGGGGCGAAGGAGGTAGTGTCTGAATGAGAGTGGGCCGCATCAAGTAATCCACAAAAAAGCTATTACAATTGTTACAATCTGCTAAACTTTTATAAATAACAATAAAATCATTATGGGTTCTCAAGAACTACTCACTGTTGCCAGAGACCAGGCATACAAAAATATATAGAAACATTTTTAAAAAAAATCAGAATTAGATTAGTCGGTGAGATTCGACTGAAACCGTCGCGGAGAGTCACGTTATAGATATGAGAATGGAGGAAACGGGCCGGCACATTTACACTAAAATTTTCTGTCATGTAGCGGGCCGCAAAATATCGTCTGGCGGGTCATAAATGGCTCGCGGGCCGCGAGTTTGAGACCCCTATTTTAGATGTTTATTTATTAATATTCACTATTATCTCATTTTTTATAAACAGAATGTAAATATTTATACTTGCCCACATCATTTTCGATGTATGCAGAATGTATGTGGGAACGAATTTCAAAATATCTTAATATTTCATTTTCGACTTCAGTTTCGGCTTCGGTTTCGGCCGAAAGTCATTTTTAAATTTTCGGCCTTTTTTCGGTTTCGGCCGAAAGTCATTTAAAACTTTCGGCCTACTTTCGGCTTCGGCCGAAATCAGAAAATCACTCTCGGTCGGTCTCTAACGCCAATGCACGTATTCTCTGCGTTTTTTCAGGTCAACGACCGGATCTTAATAAAAAAAAAAAAAACCGATCCCTTTATCTTGAAACGGACCATCTGTATTTCATTGATTTCAATGTTTCGGGCTCCGAACTTTTCGGGTTAGGAATCGAGTTCTGGAACAATTTAAGTTCGTAACCCGAAGCACCACTGTAGTGTTAGGCTACATCTAGCCCTATTCAGCAGCCGACTTCACTTTACTAAGCCGCCAATCCAAAGAAGACATACATCTTATTACGCGGAAGTAATTAACATATTCATTTTTTGCTAAAACCGCATGACACAACCTCTTTTAAAAATGTAACAACAACTTAGCGTGGCAAATTTCGTTTATGCGGATCTGCTTTAATCCAAAGTGTTCCTTAATTTCTCATTTAATCGAAGATTGTATTTAATGATTCTGGGATAACCTTTCCAACTGCTGAATTTTATATCACACGGGGGTGTTCTGCTCCCTATATTTTACAACTGAGATGACGTTCACGGGCGTAACCAGGTCCTAAGAATTATGGTGAGCTAGCAAATCAAGGTAGTGCCATGACTGGCACCAATTTTAACTATCCTTTTATTTATTGGATTCGTATATGGGGCGTTAAAACAAAAAAGAACTAGACAAACGATAGTAAAGAATTGATAGTTTGTATCAAAGATGGATACGAAACAGAAAAAAAAAAGCTGACAAGAAAATAAAATAGACTTTGAGCTCGAGTTGCTGTTTTTAATTGTTGTTTTTTAAATGTTCCATGCACAACAAAGCGATGTCTAAATAATTCAAGGCTCAAATAAAAATAATAATAATGTCGGTACATTGAGTGTTGCGTTAATTCCATCCCATTTTAACAACACAAAACGACACATAAATAACACTTAATCATATCTGAATATCATCTAAATGTTCCCCAAATAACACCTAAATAATATATAAATAGAATCCTAAATAATATCCAAATAACACCTATGAATTAGATATCAGTTGGTGGGGAAATTTAAGGAAGGGATAGCCAAAACTAATTATTTCTGCACTGTGGGTGTATGATTGCTTCCCTCTAGTTATATGAAGGCTGCCCTGTGGGTATCTGATTACTGTCCTCCAGCTATATAATTGCTACCCTCTGAATGTATGATTGCTACCCTCTGACTAAACGTGTTGCCCTCTGGATGTATGATTGCTACCCTCCTGCTGTTTGAGTCCAGTTCCATTTGGTTTAAATTAATTTTATTTTTGATTAAAGTGTGTATGGGTTTATATTAAAATAATATCTATAAAGTAAATAAGTGTGAATATATCAAGGGGATGATACTCTCCCACTTCACTTCATTGCTTTATCGGTGAACTCTCTCCTTCTCCGTGCCACGAAACAACATTCCCCCGTGCCTTAGGGTATCGACGCTCTCCATTTGATATCGATCCCGTGCAGGAGCGTGTCCCACCACGTCTCACAGTGGAGGTTAAACCCGGCGGTCGTCAGGTCACGGATATAGTACCTGAATCTTGTGTTGGTTCCTTTGTCCGCATCCATCGCCTGCAAATTGCACACGACGGTCGGCAGCTTGGAGAAGGTTTTGGTGAACTTAACATACACCACGCGGCTTCTCAAGTTGTATTCTCCGGCGGGTTGAAAACTCGGGGAGCTTCCAAAGTTTACAAGCCCCTCCTCCGCGACGTAGCTGTCAAGTGAGTTCTGTATCGCCGTCAGGTCGGTGCGAAGAGCGGATGCCCCCGTCTCCAATCTTTTCAGAGCCTCGGCGGTGGCTGCGTCCTGGGCCTTCAAGATGTCAATCTGCCCCTGCAAGTAAGATTGTGAATTGTTCAATGACAGTCGGATGGCTGTGAGCTCAGTCTTTAAACTTTTTCCGCATTCTTGCACTTCAGTTTCGGTCTGCGAGAGTCTGTCCTCTAATTCGATGATATACTGGATAATGTCCTCTTCGTTAGGACGCTGGTGACATATGTAAGTATTCGATTTGTACAGGAAATCCAGGCCGGCATTGTCGGTCGCGTTGATCGTACACGTGTAGATCCCGGCCTGGTGTATCCCCGGCTTGGCCCACGTCAGCTGCAGATAGCTGGAGTCCACGCCAGGAGTTAAATTACCACAGACCGTGAGAGTGTCCATGTCTGCTGACGCAACGGCCGGCTGCCGAGATGAAATCGACGCGATCGTGGTCTTGTCATCTGAAAACAATCATCAAAAGTAATCTTGTTATTTAGAGAGAGTGTTCACATATGAGTACACTGAAAGGATTGTTTTCAGCAACAGCAGGGTGGAAATGTATCTATTTGCTGCTTGTGATTATAACTGTGATTATAACTGTGATTATAACTGTGATTATAACTATAAACTTAAAAGTTACAATTGTTTATCAAGGATGTACGTACATACACGGAAAAAAGCATATAGACATACAAAGATACATACATATCTATATATTTATATATGTCTATATATATCTCTCTCTCTCTCTCTCTCTCTCTCTCTCTCTCTCTCTCTCTCTCTGTATATATATATATATTGAAATAATGCCTTTTAAACTTAGTATTTAAAGACAATGAACTAAAACCTTACTGTAGTCAGTTAAAACAAACAAGGAAAGAAGCATACGTTTGCTTATGAAATAATTCCAATAAAACTTAGCATTCAAAGACAATGAACTGAGATTATACGGTAGACAAGTTAAAACTGTGTCACGTCATGAGTCATGACGAGGTCGCAAGGTGTCAGAAAGAACCTACATTACCTCGTGTTACTGAGATTGAATTTACAGTCATTTTCGACAGCCCAGCTCTGCTGTGTGCAGCATCTTCTCCTTGGTGGGCGTGCTGGTAATAAAGTGAGAGATTTTGGTTGACTGCATTGTTGTGTTTTGTTCCAGCGTTCATTTTAGGATACAGATTTTCTTTTTTTTGTTGTTGTTGTTGTTGTTTTGAAAAAGTGAAATGAAATAAATAGGCCCGCATGACAACTGGTGAGGTTATTGTTTATGAGTGGGACTGCAGTCAAGCCATGTGAAGGAAATTGCGGAGCAAGATTATGTTTAGACTTGAGATAAAAACACAGGACAGTGAAACGATCGTTACGGCAAGACGCCTTCTTAATCTGGCAAGACAAAAACGAGGAAAAACTAAAAAAAATAAAAATTTAATTTTTAAACGCAGATCTCTATGTTGGAGACACTTAATGTTGAAAACATTCTTTGTTGGAGAAACGTTATGCTTGAGACTTAATTGATGTTGTAACTTATCCCTTCCTATTCTATCATAGAGTGCAGTCGAGGTTTCCGTTGCCGTAGAAAGAGCTCTAGCTCTCTGCCACAAAATACCCAACAAGGGGTGGCTCCCATTTGGATGTTAAGCTCATGACCTATTATTATTATATTATTATTATTATTATTATTATTATTATTATTATTATTATTATTAGTGCTTTTCTCTAGCGCGGCACCCCGGCCTAGGGCTGGGCTCACCACGCTGTACATACAAGTAAACAAACATAATCATGAACTTAAATAATCAAGATACATTAATTAAACAAAACAAGACAAAATAGGATGTACATTCACTTCACCCATTCCAGAACTATGTGCATTGAAGAAAACCATTTAATGTATGGGACGTGATTCGCTTAGACTGGTGCTCTTTAAAAATATCCCCGGTCGCTGCCCCTTTCAAACACATTTAAATGTATCAGCGAAAAAAATTGATTTGCTTATAATATTCCAATATTCCAATAGGGTGAAAATTCTTTGACATCTTGAATGGCCTCTATTTAGATTAAATGAGTCATTAAATTATCGAATTAGTTCATTTCGTTTAAAACCGTGGGGGGGGGGGGTTTTTATTTTTTTTTTAAAACAAATAATTTTTGGTTTTTTTTTTATTGGTTTTTTTTTTTCGGGTTTTTTTTTTTATTTTTTTATTGAATGGCCTCTATTTAGATTAAATGAGTCATTAAATTATCGAATTAGTTCATTTCGTTTAAAACCGTGGGGGGGGGGGGTTATTAATTTTCTTTTAAAACAAATAATTTTTAGTTTTTTTGTTAATGGTGTTTCTTATTCGCGTTTTTTTTTCTACATTATTACACTAACATTACATATCTACCTGGAGGGAACATTTCATCTGCAGTGTCTTTGTGAGTCCATCTTTGATGGAGGCCGGCTCAGCTGTCAGTAATATGTCTGATGCTGTAAATTTGTGATAATAGTATAGCATTACTTTTAAGGTTGTTTTGAATGGTTTTCCTCATTATTTTTTGTATGGAAATGTTAAATGATTAAATGGTAAAAGTAAAAGGATAAATTCATCCTAAATTTTTAATAATAAATCTAAACATCCAGTACCCAAAAAATGCCGTTGTTTTATGTCCCCGGATCACAGTTTACTAAAAAAGCCCCAACTAATGACGGGCTAGTATTAGCTAGTTGTAAAAGAGATTGATTTAAAACGTTGTTGCCTTCTCTGACGATGCCCTGGATGTTGAGTCTTCACCGTTATAACATTGTAAAAGCGGTCTGCTGGCGGACAGAAAACAACGCTTTAAAGACAACATAAAGGCCTCACTGAAAGCGTTCAACAGAAACCCAGACACAAGCAAAGAATCCAACTTCATGGCATTCCACTTGGCACAGGAGCTCCATGCAACATGAAGTTGACAGAACAGCGGCTGCAGAGCGCAAGAGACATGCGAGGAAGGCCCGGTCTGAATCTGCTCCCGGGGATGCGCCATCATTCCCCTGCACCTACTGCACAAGAGAATTTCGTGCCAGAATCGGCCTCATGAGCTATCTGCGCACCCACAGACAGAACCAGCACAAAAACCCTGATGATTAAAGTGGTCATGGTCGACTCCCGACAGACGAACAACAACAGCATTGTAATAAAACAACACACCCGAGTGGACGATATGGTAAGGCCATGAGTGAGCGCCGCCTCCCTTCCACCCAACCACACACCCTTTCCACTTTCTAAATTAAAATTCAAACCAACAACAACGAAAATCGCAACAAATCAATTTTTTTTTTTTTTTGAAAAATTTGTTTTTAGCATAAATTTATATTTACTGTTCAACCCACAGCATTAGCAATTAAATCAATTTCAGCTTATTTCATATTAGTTCGTTTTTTTTTTAATTTGTTTTTACTGGTATTAAAAGAATGTACAATAATAATTCCCGAGTGAATGTTTTACTGTCCACCACACACTCATTTCGCACCGTGCTGCGCTCTCATTCGCTGCCTCCCACGCCCAACCCAGTCGTGCGATTGCTCACGTACGCATCAAACGCACGCCAAAGAGCATCTAGATGAACAACTTTGAAGCAGTGAGTGAGTATCCTTAAAAGTACCTGGGAGTACTTTTGAATATGATCTCTAACCGTGGAATGCACAGTGTTCTAAACATATATCATGTGTGCGTTGCCCCAGCTAGTACTTAAATAAAATCAGATATCATCAAAATATGATATATCAATGTTGCAATAAATATCATTAAAATATACAAAGGCTAACAGCTTAAAATGATATACAAACCTTCAATCACAAACACCATCACGAAAATGCAAATTAAGCCAAAGCTCATCTTATTAGATTTTACCATCTCCGATTTTTTTGTTCAATAGAAACCTCTCGAGTCCCTCAGTATGAGCTAATCACCGAATCTTTATGAAAAGTAAAGTAACTAAGCTAGATGCTTTCTTGTTGTAAATATAAGCAATTATTATAACGTAATCCTGTGATGGCTTTCCTCTAGAGTCAATTCAGTCATGCAATGCCGACGTCAGTTTTGAAATTTAAGTCAAGTTCAACTTTCATTGGCTGAATGAGAAAGTTGTGTATTTCGTTACAGACTTATGTCCCACTTATTATATCTTGAAAAACGCCCCACAATCCACTGACACTTAACAGACAATCCCACAAGAAGACCCGATGTACGGAACAACAACCAGGATCTTTTCATTGTCAAATTCAAGTGGTGGGTCGAGTGGGGAGTGAGGCGTGTGACAGGTTGTTGTGATACATGTTGTAAACATAAACACTATATTGTAACGGATCTGCTGAAATGTCCTTGACACTCTTTTAACTGAACGGGTATTTAGGTTATGGATAACTCAAAATGCGATAACAATTTACTATAAGTTTCTTACCTGCTAAACAAAAACAACTTGTCCTACTAACAAACCCAGAACTTGGTCCTGGCCAGCAGCACAATCCCCTGTCGATAGGACTACATGTACTTTGTAGTTCAGGCTAACAGTGCAATCCCCTGTCTATAGGACTACATGTGCTTTGTAGTTCAGGCCAGCAGCGTAATTCCATTTCTTTAGGACTACATGGACTTTGTAGTTCAAGCCAGCAGTGCAATCCCCTGTCTATAGGACTACATGTACTTTGAAGTTCAGGCTAACAGTGCAATCCCCTGTCTATAGGACTACATGTACTTTGTAGTTCAGGCCAGAAATGTAACCCCCTGTCTCTAGGACTATATGTACTTTGTAGTTCAAGCCAGCAGTGCAATCCCCTGTCTATAGGACTACCTGTACTTTGTAGTTCAGGCTAACAGTGCAATCCCCTGACTATAGGACTACATGTACTTTGTAGTTCAGACTAACAATGCAATCCCCTGTCTATAGGACTACATGTACTGTGTAGTTCAGGCTAACAGTGCAATCCCCTGTCTATAGGACTACATGTACTTTGTAGTTCAGGCTAACAGTGCAATCCCCTGTCTATAGGACTACATGCACTTTGATTGAACGGAGTGCAGAAATTTAGGATGCTAAAGACAGTTAGGCAAACTTAAAATGTAGGGTGCATTTTGGCTCATATATGAATTTGTGGTTTCTTTCAGATAATTTTGAGGTTGCATTTTAAACTTTCGGATGGGAAGATCCAATATCAGCCAAAATAATGATTAAATCTTAAATTCCGTACTAGTGGGACGTAAACTTAATTCATTCTAGTTGTCTTATCCTTAAGTGTACGATTTCACCCTAGTTGTTGTTTTTTCTCGCCCCTTAATTCTTTATACTGCCCAGGATTTTTTTGCAAAAATAAAAATACAAGAATGCATTTTATCACATATCTGAATTTCGTTTTGCAGCATTCTGCACTTAATTGGAGAGCTACGGAAGAGATTCTAGTTAAAAATGTACGTTCACTTAACCTTTAGAACCATCGTGTGCACCCAGCAACCCCTACGACTGAAGAGGGCCTCGGATATTTTAGGGGTTTAAAGATGGGATGATGATATTTTCTTACTTATCATATTTCAATGCAGGCTGGAAAAATGTTAGTTTGTGTGTGTAAATAATATAACATTTCTCAGATACATTACAAATTGCCTTTTAGATACACATTAAAACACTTTTTTTTTAAAATTTACATCATTTATTTTAAATTTAACAAATCAGGATTAAGATTTTTGTTTATAAAACGTGTATCATAAATTTCTTCAATAGAATTGACAAGATCATCGAAATGCTAGTTCACAAAAATCTTTTCTTTTTTTTTTTTAATTTTCAGACAGATCTTTATCTAGAAAAAAAAATATAAAGAAAAATATCAGTGCAAATAGATGGGGCTTAATAAAATTATAGGCTACGAATTTTTTACACCTCTGTTCTTCAGGAAACATTGTTACAAAAGTAGCACGTTAAAAGAAAACTCGAACACCTTTCGATGAAATAGTTGATGAAATGTACACTTTTTGTATGCGCCCTTTCAATTATTTTTTTTTTTTTTATAAGAAATGTAAGGTTTTTTTTTAAAGTTTCCATTTTGTATAAGTCAACACAAAGTGTTCAGAGTCGACTATATTTAAAGTTATGCAAACAAACATATTTTCAAAAGAATAGTTCTATCATACAATTTATAATCAACGTCATCTCTACTTTAAAAGTCATGCTTTTATTATGAAATTTATTTTCAAAATAGATTGCGCATGTTTGATACTAAATAACTATTATTAAAATTGTAGACCTTTATAGTGATGTAAAATTATTAAATACAATGTTTTTTCAACCTTTAAACTTGGGATGTTGCCAAAAACAAATGAATTAAAATACCATTATAAGCTGACAAGAAAATAAAATAGACTTGAAACTTCAGTTTTTGTTTTCAGAGTGTTTTTTGTGTTTTGTTTTTTAAACATACTAAGCAAAACAAAGCGATGTCTAAATTATTCAAGGCTCAATAAAAAAAAAGAATGTAGATGCATTCAGTTTGAATTAATTCGATTCCATTTCAATAACAAAAAAATAAAAAAGTATATAACACTTAATTACATCTAAATATCTTCTAAATATTATCTAAATAAAATCCAAAATAATATTAAATTAACACCTAAGTGACGCCAATAAAGAAGATATGAGTAGGGTGAAAATTTGAGTACATTATAGACAAAACTAATGATTTCTGCCCTGTGGGTGTATGATTGCTTTTCCGTTGCTGTATACTTGCTGCCCTGTGGCTATATGTTGGCTGCCCAGTGGCTGTATGATTGATTTCTTCCTTTTTTTCTTTTTATTTTACTTTAGCAGTTTATAGTTTACATATTTTTAATAATTGTAAAGCGCTTAGAGCTGTAAGGTAAGCGCTATAAAAATGCCTAATTAAATTAAATTAAATTAATTTCGCATTGCTATATGATTACTGCCCTCTGGCTGTATGATTGCTGCCCTGTAGCTGTAAGATTGATGTCCTGTGGCTGTATAATTGTTATCCTCTTCCTATATGATTGCTTTCCCGTGGCTATATAATTGCTGGTCTGTGGCTGTATGAGTGTTACCCTCCGCCTATATGATTTCTACCCTCCTGATGTATGATTCTTACCCTCCTGCTGTATAATTGCTACCCTCTGGGTGTTTGAGTCCAGTCCCATTTGGTTTAAACATGTATTATTTTTGATTGAAGTGTGTATAGGGATATATAAAAATATACATATATGTAAAGTAAATAAGTATGAATTAAATCATGCTGCTAGGGGATGATACTCTCCCACTTCACTTCATTGCTTTATCGGTGAACTCTCTCCCTCTCTTTGTGGATCGAACCAAAATACACCCGTGGTGCCTTACGGTATCGACGCTCTCCATTTGATATCGATCCCGTGCAGGAGCGTGTCCCACCACGTCTCGCAGTAGAGATTAAACCCGGCAGTCGTCAGGTCACGGGCATAATACTTGAATCTTGTGTTGGTTCCTTTGTCCGCATCCAACGCGTGCAAATTGCACACGACGGTCGGCAGCTTGGAGAAGGTTTTGGTGAACTTAACATACACCATGCGGCTTCTAGCGTTGAGTCCGGGAGGTCGAAAACTCTGGGAGCTTCCGAAGTATACAACCCCCTCCTCCGCGACGTAGCTGTCAAGTGAATTCTGTATCGCCGTCAGGTCGGTGCGAAGAGACGATGCCCCCGTCTCCAATCTTTTCAGAGACGCGGCGGTGGTTGCATCTTGGGTCTTCAAGATGTCGATCTGCCCCTGCAAGTGAGATTGTGAATTGTTCAACGACAGTCGGATGGCTGTGAGCTCAGTCTTTAAACTTTGTTTGCATTCTTGCACTTCAGTTTCGGTGAGTGAGAGTCTGTCCTCTAATTGAATGATATACTTGAGAATTTCGTCTTCGTTAGGACGCTGGTGACATATGTAAGTATTCGATTTGTACAGGACACCACGGCCGGCATTGTCCGTCGCGTTGATCGAGCACGTGTAGATCCCGGCCTGGTTTATCCCCGGTTTGGTCCACGTCAACAGCAGATAGTTGGATCCCACGCCAGGAGTTATTTCACCACGGACCGTGATGGTGTCCACATCTGCTGACGCAATGGCCGGGTGCCGAGATGAAATCGACGCGATCGTGGTCTTGTCATCTGAAAACAATCATCAAATGTAATCTTCTAATTCGGACAGAGTGTTCACGTATGAGTTAACTGAAAGAATTATCTGGGGATCAGCGAGGTTGAAAATGCATGTGGTTTTTTTATGTGCATATAATGAGCTTCAAATTTATAAATATTCATCAAAAGTGTACGAAACAAGCACCGAAAGAAGCATACTTATATATATATAAATATTGAAATAATTTCTTTAAAGTTTAGTATTCAAAGACAATGACTAATATTCATACTGTAGTCAAGTTAAAACAAACAAGTAGTTAAAAAAAACAAGAAAATATGTTTATTGAAATAATTCCAAAGAAAGGTAGCATTCAAAAACAACGAACTGAGATCATACGGTAGACAAGTTAAAACGGTGTCACGTCAATGAGGTCGTAATGAGACAAAGCGTCGTACAGAACTACATTACCTCGTGTTACAGAGATTGAATTTACAGTCATTGTAGATGGCTCAGCTCTGCTTTGTGCAGCATCGTCTCTTTGGTGGGCGCGCTGGAAGAAAAGTGAGAGATTTGCATGACTGCATTGATGTGTTTTGTTTCAACGTTTTGTTTCATTTTAGGATGCAGTAGTTCTTTTTTTTATATAGTGAAATGAAGTAAATAGGCCGCATGACAATTGGTGAGGCTTTTGTCTATGTTGGAAACATTCTCTGTTGGAAACAGTCCTTTTTAGAAACACTCTATGTTTTGGAATCAATTTATGGAGGAGACACTAAATGTTGGAACCAGTCTATGTTGAAAATCTCTGTGTGTAGGAAACAGTCCTTGTTGGAAACAATCCTTGTTGGAATCACTCTATGTTGGAAAAAGTCTATGTTGGAAACAATCTATGTTTGAAACAATCCTTGTTGGAAACACTATATGTTGGAAACAGTCTATGTTTGGAAACAGTCTATGTTGGGAACAGTCCTTGTTGGAAACAGTCTATGTTGGAAATAGTCTATGTTGGAAACAGTCTATGTTGGAAAAGTCTATGTTGGAAAAGTCTATGTTGGAAACAGTCTATGTTGGAAACAATCTATGTTGAAACAATCTATGTTGGAAACAGTCCTTGTTGGAAACAGTCTATGTTGGAAACAGTCTATGTTGGAAACAATCTATGTTGAAACAGTCTATGTTGGAAACAGTCTGTGTTGGACACAGTCTATGTTGGAAACAGTCTATGTTGGAAACAGTCTATGTTGGAAACAGTCTATGTTGGACACAGTCTATGTTGGAAACAGTCTATGTTGGAAACAGTCTATGTTGGAAAAATCTGTGTTTGAAAAACTCTATGATGGAAAAATTGTTTTATAAAAACTCTATGTTGGACACTTTATGCTTGAGACTCAATTTAAATCGTAATCATTACTTCCTATTCTATCATAGAGCGCAGTCGAAGTTCCCATTCCCGTAGAGAGAGCTCTTGCTCTACCCCACAAACACGAAGCAGGGGGTAGTTTTCATTTAGATGTTGCTCTTGATCAATTGTTATTATTATTATTATTATTATTATTAGTATTATTATAATTATTATTATTATTATTATTATTATTATTATTATTATTATTATTATTATTATTATTTTTATAATTATTATTATTATTATTATTATTATTATTATTATTATTATTATTATTATTATTATTAGTGGTTTTACATAGCGAGGTTCACCAGCTGGAGCTCACCACGCTGTGCATACGATTCAACAAGCATTATCATGAACTTTTAAATTCACATACATTAATTAAATAAAACAAAATAAATTTAAATTCACTCTACCAATTCCAGAACTATTTCCATTGAAGAAAACCATTTAATATATGGGACGTGATTAGTTAAGACTGGTGCTCTATAAAAATATCCCCGGTCGCTGCCCCTTTTCAAGCATGTTCATGTGTACAAAGGAAAAAAAATTGATTTGCTTATAATATTCCAATATGGTGTAAATTCTTTGATATTTTGAATGGCTTCAGTTTAGCTCAAATCAGTCATTAAAAAAAGGGAGTAGTTGACTTAGTTTAAAGTCATCTGGTGGTTTATTATAATTATTATTTTTTTATTATTATCTCCATTATTACACTAACATTACATATCTACCTGGAGGGAACATTTCATCTGCAGTGTCTTCGTGATTCCATCTTTGATGGAGGCCGGCTCAGCTGTCAGTGATACGTCTGATGCTGTAAATTTGTTGATAGTGTTATAACATTACTTTTAAGGTTGTTTTGAAAGACTTTCTTTTAGAAAAAAAAAAATTCAAATGTTAAATGATGAATGGTAAATATTAAATGATCAATGGTAAATTGTAAATGATCAATGGTAAATTGTAAATGATAAATGGTAAATCGTAAATGATGAATGGTAAGTATTAAATGATGAATGGTAAATATTAAATGATCAATGGTAAATTGTAAATGATCAATGGTAAATCGTAAATGATGAATGGTAAGTATTAAATGATGAATGGTAAATATTAAATGATCAATGGTAAATTGTAAATGATCAATGGTAAATCGTAAATGATGAATGGTAAGTATTAAATGATGAATGGTAAATATTAAATGATCAATGGTAAATTGTAAATGATAAATGACAAAAGGTAAAGAATACATTCATCCTGAGTTTTTAATAATAAAACTAAACATATTTTACCCCCCAAAAATGCCAAAAGTCTTGTGACCCCGATCATGGTTTGCACAACAGCCCCCAGAAAATGACGGGCTACTACTAGCTAGTTGTAAAGGAGTGTTGACAGTCTTAAGCGGAAGGATTTAGAGCATTGTTGCCCTCTCTCACGATGCCCAGGATGTTGAGACTTCGCCCTTTACAGCCTTGTATTAAAACAACACACCCGAGTGGACCAAAGGGTAAGGCCATGGAGTGATCATCACCTCCCGTTCACCCAACAGCCCACCCTCTCAACATTTAAGAATAAAATACAAACCAATAACAACATAAACAGCAACAAAATCAATAAATAAAAACACACTTTGTTTCTAACATATTTTTTTTTACTGCCATCAAAAGAATCTACAGCAATAATTCCCGAGTGAATCTTTTATTGTCCACCCAACTCTCATTGCGCACCATGCTGCGCTCTCATTCGCTGCCTCCCACTCCCCACGCAGTCGTGCAGTTGGTCATGTACGCACCAAACGCAAAAAAATATCATATAGATGAGCATCTTTGATGCAGTGAGTGACTATTCTTAAAAGGACCTGGCATTAATTTTGAACATGAGCTCTAGCCGGGAAATGTACAGTATTTTACACGTGTATCGAAGGTGCCTTGCCCCACCAAGTACTTAAATAAAATCACATATCATCAAAATTTGATTTATCAATGTCGCAGTAAATATCCTTAAAAATTACAAAGGCTAACCACTTAACATGCTGTACAAACCTTCAATCGCAAACACCATCACGAAAATACAAATTAAGCCAAAGCTCATCTCATTAGATTTTACCATCTCCGATTTTTTTCAAAATAGAAACCACTCGAGTCACTCAGTCTAGCTAATCACCGATTCTTTATGAAAAGTACAGCTACTAAGCTAGATGCTTTTTTTTTTTGCAAACATAAGCAATTACTATAAGGTAATTCTGTGATGGCTTTCCCCTGGAGTCAGTTCAGTCATGCCATGCCACCGTCAGTTTTGACATTTGAATAACTTTTGTTGGCTGAATGAGAAGGTTGTATTTCTCTACAGACTTATGTCCCACTTTTATATCTTGAAAAACGCCCCACAATCCACTGATAATCCGACAAGAAGCATCCAGGATCTTTTCGTGTAAATCAAGTGGGGGGGGGGGGGGCATGTGACAGGCTGATGTGACATATGCTGTAAAATAATAAATTATATTGTAACAGATCGTCTGCAATGTTCTTGAGAATCTTTTAACTGTACTGGTATTTAACATTAAAACTAACAATCCAGGGTCTTTTCGTGTAAATCAAGTGGGGGGGGGGGGTGGCATGTGACAGGCTGATGTGACATATGCTGTAAAATAATAAATTATATTGTAACAGATCTGCTGCAATGTCCTTGAGAATCTTTTAACTGTACTGGTATTTAACACTAAAACTAACCGTAACACTCACACTAACCCTAACACTTACACTAACACTCAACCTGGCACTAAAACTCACCCAAACATTTAAAACAATACTGACACTAACCCTAACGCTAACAAAACTCTAACACTAACCCTAACACTCACCCTAACACTAACCCTAACACTATCACTTATCCTAACACTAACACTAACGTTATCACTTACCCTAACACTCACCCTAACACTAACCCTAACACTCACCCTAACACTAACCCTAACACTAACACTTATCCTAACACTAACACTAAATTTATCACTCACCCTAACACTCCCCCTAACACTAAACTCAATCTAACACTGACACTCACCCTAACACTAACGTTTACCCTAACACTCACCATAACACTAACACTCATCCTAACACTAACACGAAACTTAACACTTACCTAACACTAACCCTAACACTCACCCTAACACGAACACTAATCTTAGCACTAATACTAACCCTAACCCTAAAACTAATCTTAACATTAAAACTAACCCTAACTCTAAACACGCATGAATAGGTTTGAAATGTCATTGTCATCATTATTTATCATCTATAAGATTGTTTCAACCGTTAAGGATGACCGATTTATTGCTATAATATTTTCTTATCCCCTTTTAACCAACTTTCTTCTTTTACAATTCGACAATGGCCATTACGTTTTATAAAACAAGTCAGATCTTGTGGATCATATCTGTGTCGATCAGTGTTTCTTTCAGACATTTATCCCCCGGGGAAAAATGTTTCGGGGTTGGGGGGGCACTGTGTCGTTTGACAGTGACCAGAGGCGTAAATAGGGCGTGGCAGATGGAGCACATGTCCCGGGCGCCAAACTAGCAGGAGGGGTGGAAATTGGGCTTTGGTGGCATTTAATGGTTGAAAATAATCGGTTTCAGAATTGTCAGGAGGGGCACAAAAAATAAATCTGGTCCCCTGACGCCAAACACTGTATATACGCCACTGCTAGTGTCGTCGAAATTGTGCTTATCGGGTTGGTCCACCAAGGTGTAACTTTTTCTTTATATACAGCAGAGCCCTTCTTAGGATTTTAAGGGCCCTGGGCAGGGAACGGATGTAGGGGACCCCGGAAAGGGAGTCGCCGAGTAAACATCACCAACCAGTGTGGAACCCCCATTCTGCCTTCGTTAATGTTTGCTTGCGGGTAACCACTAACCATATTGATAATTCCGCCACTGGAGAAAATGTGTATTTCTGAAATTTATTGACTTTCAAGTAGTAGGCTTTAAAAAAATGCGCCAGCGAGCATCCTGGGCAGTGGGGCCCAAAAGGTCGCTTACTTTGCCTATGCCTAAGAACGGCTCTGTATGCAGGTTTGGCATTTTCGGACAACAGCAGAGTTTGTATCGTTAAAGAGAAAACGGTAAAAATCTTTGCCCACCCATGGTGGCATTAATAGTATCTGTGCCACTGGCAAATTATCAATTAATACCAAAATCGGCGATCATTTCCATCGGTAAGTAGGGCAGTAATTGAGGGCGCCGATGAATCTTGATCGGTGGAGAGGAGTGGGGAGCCTGCTCCCCAGAAAATGTTTGATTATTTTTACAATTAAGATTTGTAGTCTTTGAGTATACTTGAATTCAATGTTTCTATTACACTTTTTGAGCGCCGAAAAATATGTTTTGAATTCACTCCTTTTTCGGGGTGCCCCAGAGTGAGCATTTGGTCACAAGCTTAAAATTAACCCCATACTGTATTGATCAGCTCGAGTGAACGTGTTGCAGCAATTTAGGATGCTAAAGACAGTTGGGCTAAATTAAAATGTAGGGTGCATTTTGGCTCATATATGAATTTGTTGTTTCTTTCAGATACTTTTGAGGCTGCATTTCAAACTTTCTGATGGGAAGTTCCAAAATTAGCCAATATAATATTCAAGACATCTCAAATTCCGCTCAAGTGGGACGTAAACGTAATTCATTCTAGTTGTGTCAAACTTAAGTGTACGATTTTGATCTATTTTTTTTCTCACCCTTTAATTCTTTATAGTCCCAAGAATTTTTTGCAAAATTAAAAATACAAGAATGCATTTTATCACATATCTGAATTTAGTTTTGCAACATTCAGCACTTAATTAGACAATAACGGAAGAGATCTTAATTTTAAAATAGTGTTGTCACTTAACCTTAGAACCATCGTGTGCGCCCAGCAATCCCTATGACTGAAGGGTGCCTCGAATATTTTAGGTGTTTGAAAATGTGATGTGGATAATTTTCTTAATTATCATATTTCAATGCAGGTTGGAAAAAAAGTGTGGTGGCGGGGGGAGGGGGGGCCAAGCGGAAAACTGTTTGACCTGTTTTGCAATGCAACAAAATTTGTATATTACTTAAAAATAGTAACATTGTTTTGTTGTTTTTTTTTTGTTTTTTTTTTTTT